GCGGAAGGATCGCCAGAGCCCAGCAGGTCGTGGCTGCGGTGGCCACTAGACTCCAACTCCAAAAAAAAAAAAAAAAAAAAAATGGATAGAATAAGGAATAAGAAATAACCCACAAAAATATAAAAAGGCAAAATATGAGAGAATAACAAGTTTTAAAAATATAATAGAATGAAAGAAATTTTAAAATATTAAAAATATCTCAAATGATTACCTTGCACTTATGCCAAACATTTTGCTATGTGCAAGTAACATAAAATTAAGCAAGCATACGCAATCAAAGCATGAAAAAGATTTATATTCATCAACTCTATATTGAGTGGAAATCCAACATAGTTGAAGAAGTTTACCTTTAAAAGAAACTTTACTTTTAGTTTTCAGAGTTATTATTCCCAGTGTATAATACAAATACAATTTGATTCTACACTATATAATTCATGGATAAAGTGTGTTTAAAGTTTTTAATCCGTGACCAAAGTCTTTCTTCTGCTCACAGTCTGTTTCCACTACTTCGGGATATCAATTCAGGGAAGAGGATTATAGGAATAGCCTAAAGAAAATAAATCTATCAGAAGTAGGTTTTATAGTAGATAAAGTCATATATAAATTATTTTATAACCCTAATATGTCTTCCTTTTATCAATCAGGAATGTTTATTGTTGCAAACTGACCTAAGCTAAGATGTTTAGGCAAACTCTCAGGGTTTGGTGAGTAAGTGTTGTTATCAGTTATAATAAAAAAGTATTAGATCACATTCCACTATACAGACAAATAAAAAATAGACACAAAATAGTTCATACTCCTTATTTTATAGCTTAATGACATCCCGACTCTCTATTATTTAGGTGCTCTGACAGCACTTTACATAAAAACTGTACTCAAAATGTACATGAAAATATTTTGGGGACAGAATGTTGTTACCTTTATATTTTTCATCAGACACTATCATGCTGCAAACCAATGAGTGGACATACAGGATGAGTCTCAGATGTGTTACCTAAATGTGCATCCTACAAAGTTTGGTGGGTTTTTGTATGTGTGCATGCAAAGTAGCGCAGTACTTCTGATATATTTTGGCCAGTCTACAACTCTGGAACACCACACATTTTTTCTTCAATGAAAAATACATTTTTTAACATTCATTAGACATTCATTAGGCTAATTATCCAATTTATCTTGACATCAGAGACAGACATAGCTGAAATACTTTATGATTGTTAGTTGTACAGAAATGTTTATAATAAAATCATATTCTTCCTAATTTACCATCTCTTCCTTAGATAATCACAGCTGTCCTTTCAGATATACAAATTCTATCTATATACAAATTCAATCCATGTGTATACTCACATCAACATACTTTTAGAAAACTTTTTCTACTATGTAAACTATTTTCTGAGTTGCTTTTGTCTATAGGAAAAAAAACCAAATCTGGATTGACATTCAATATACTTAATAATCTGTGCCCCTCAACTCTCTGATTTCATTTTCTGATAGTTCATCCTACACATTCAATGTTTTAGCCTGTCTGATCTTCTCATAGTTCTTGGATATGCCATACCCTTTTGAGCCTCTGTGCCTTTGAATATTCTGTTCTGTGCTTGAAAAATTTTTTGTTTGTTTTTTTATGGCTTAATCTTTAAGACCTATTTCAGATGTTATATCCTATATTAATCTGTTTCCTAATTTTCTAGTGGAGTAACTTTTTTTCTGTGTATTCCTAAAATACTTTGTATATAACTAGATTAAGGTAATAATCGTAATTATATTAACTAACAAATACTGGTGGTATTGTATACGTTTGACTATTTTTACATTTATTTTATTTAACCTTCTTTCTACATTATCTTGTAACTTGTTAGTTGTGTTTTTTTTTCTCCCCCCAAAATAGACCAAAACTAATTTACTTACTCTTCTTTAGATTCCTAGCATATGGCACTATACTTGGGCATATCATAAGTGCGCAGCAAATCCATATATGAAGGAATGAATGTAAAAAGTGTTGCTCTTCAGTTCTTGATATTAAAGATAATGCATAGATTAGTCTCTGTGAATATAGAAAAGATATGGATATAGTATGAATAGAGAGCAAAAGCCATGATGAAATGGCATCTTTTTTCCTATAGAATGTGTTATAGAGAATTTTATAGATTTGTTTGAAGATTGGAGAAAGCTGAAAAAAATGGAAATAGAAATATCTTTGTCTAAGATGCTTTAACTTTCACTATGAGTTGATGGGTTTGGCCTTTATACAGTTATTTAGGGAAATTGTGACAGAACAAAATAATATTAATCATGAGTATAGCATAAAAGCTGTAAGCAAAAAAGATAAGAAAGGGCTGTTATTAGTTGGGAATAAAAGCTGTATTTTTCCATGGTCTTCAATGGTTTTGCTTAACTTATCTCCTAAAAAAATTTTGGAAAGTGAGGTACCACTTTGAACATTTTCAAGTTGCTAGCTAAAATGCTTTTTATCATAAGTTTAAGTAGCTCTAGATGCAACAGTCAACACATTAAATATTGTGTTTATGCTTTTAAATGAATTTTGGCAAAACTTTGTTACTGCATATTTAGTTCATTCACTCATAAAAAATGTTTACCATATAATCAAATTGGCTCAATCAGTCCTCAGTGCCAAACTACTTACCTAACTCAGACTTACTGTCTGTCATTAAGAAGTCTGACTTCGTTTTTTAGATTAAATGAACATATTAAGACACTCTATGACAATCATCTCACTTTGGAATTCTAATCATGGTTATAGATACATAGAATGCTCTCTAAGCAGTCGGACAGACTCGCAAAGAGGCACAGCCTTGCCAGGGTGAAATAAGCATCCTCTCCTTCAGTTTTTCTGGCTTTGCTCCTAAGGAATTGCCTCTCTCCTCCTTTCTGGCACAAGATTAGGGCTTTCTTGAATTATCTCTTTGCTTAATGATCTGGACCCTTTTACACCCTAAGGCAATTCACCAGATTAAGGTTTTGGTTGGGTAAGTGGTATGCTTTCTTAGTTGTAAAGTAGAAACAGGAAAATTGTGAAAGGATGACTATGGGATTTAAGTGCATTCTCAGACAGACCAGTTTTAGGACAGGGCACATATGGAACTTGAGAATTTAGAAACAGACTCTATTTAAACATCAATATCTGCATTACCCATGACAAGTTTTGGTTTACAATTTCTTGAAGACTGCTGGAATGGGTTCTTGAAGACTGTTGGAATGGAAGACCATGGAAATATACAGCTTTTATTTCCAACTAATAGCAGTACTTTCTTATCTTTTTTGTTTACATCTTTTATGTTATACTCATGATCATAACACACTATGATGACAGGATAGGTTTACTATGACACCCATAATATGCTTTCTGGTGCTTTGATGAGTACACCAGTACCTGCTCCACATCTTATATTCAATAGTGTTCTAAGCACTGCAATCCCATGGTTTACCAATTGCAAAAGAAGAAACAGGGGATATATATGTGAATGGTCAGATGAGAAGTTTATGCAAGAGGAAAAGAAAATCCCTTTCCTCAAATATAAAATGAACAAATGAAGAGTTTGAAATTCTAAAAATAGACAGAAGGAACTTCCAGAAATTTTTAGTGAGTTCAGCAACACAGTGATATATCTGCTTGTAATATTTGTTTCATGAAAGTATACTTTGGTCTGTGGGTTGATGAATAAGAATGGAATTAATGAATAACCCCCTCCCACACTAATATTGACTAATCATTATTTATGTACAATAAAAGATAACTGTTACAATTTGCATTTCCCTGTAGTTTGTGAGAGCTTATTTTTTAACTGAAAAACTTTTCATTTCTAGCATGTCAAAGACAAATAAAAATTTTATTTCTTTTAAATTCATTTTGTATTCTCCCTTTAGAAACTCTAAATACTGTTGATTTTTAAATTAGTTTACAAAGATATGATTATGGAAATGCAGCTGGGTGTGGTGACTAATGCCTGTAATCCCAGCACTGTGAGAGGCCAAGATGGTAGGATTGCTTGAGCCCAGGAGTTCAAGACCAACCTTGGCAACATAGGGAGACCTCATCTACTACTACTACTACTACTACTACTACTACTAATAATAATAATAATAAATTAGCTAGTCTTGGTGGTGTATTCCTGTAGTCGCAGCTACCAGGGAGGCTGAGGCAGAAGGATCACCTAAACCCTGGAGATCTAGGCTGAAATGAGCAGTGATCATGTCACTGCACTCCAGCCTGGGCAACAAAGTGAGACCCCAGCTAAAAATAAGCATTTATATCGATATTGATTTAGCAATATGTATTTTTAAAAAGTAAATAACATTACTTTATAGACTCAATCATTTGTATTGACTTATAATGCAGTATGGTATAGAATAAGTCCGATCGACATTAGGAAAACTTTCTATTAAGCTTTGTAAAATCATATTAAAATATTTGTGTTTTAACCATGCTAAATTGCTGGTATACAACGAGGAAAAATTTGTGATATTAATTTTATTTCCCTTGTTATATTACTTTTTTTTTTAACAAGAAACTGTGCTAGAGTTAAAGCAACTCCAAATAGTGCTTGTAGCTCAGAAGCATAAAATACAGTCTGTAGCTATGATTTTAATAAAAAAAAACCCCCACAGGTTCAAAGAAGATTGGAAATAAGAAGCCACCCATTTGCTTTTTGTAGAAGCAGTAGCAATCCACAGACAAGCTATCCTGGCTTCAAAATAGTATGATAGATGGTTTTATGGAACTTGCGATGACCAAAATCCACTTTAACCTTTCTTACTGACAGGTGTTCTATTGGCTTATAGCCAGAGGCTGTGAGGGTAGTGCAGCCTGTGGTGTGCCCCAGAGTGCTAAAAGTGCCAACACTCCAGCTAGTGGCTCACAATTACGTTGATTGTGGTCTGGCAACCAGAGCTCCAAGAAAGAAAAGTGATGAATATAGAAAAATATTTTACAAATTTGATCAGATTACAAATTTCATCTCTTCTTTTTTTCTCCTCCATAGATATGATATCTGCACTTATAAAAATAAGCCTTGTGGAACACTGGGTAAGTTTTTTTTATAAAGGGAGGATAGTTCAGGTTGTCTTTTTGGACCAATGACTTTACTCTTCATTATTAACTTGGTCATTTTCCTTTCTGTACATCTGAAATCCCTAAAAACTCTCAAACCTGACCTTTATGGATATTTCATTTATTAGAAAACAAATATTCATTCCCATTATAAATATTATGTAAATTTAATTGGCTTTTTTGGCAACTGAAATGATGAATCATGATTCAAAATCATCAAATAATAATTTTAAATCAAAGTTACCATTCATTTTCACATAATCCATCTCTGCAAGGCCGTTTCTAAAACTACCAAGGAGTTTGAAAGCAAATGAAAGCAATCAAGCCTAGACAACATAGTGAGACCTCGTATCTACAAAAATAAAAAAATTAGCTGGGCTTGGTGGCACACGCCTGTAGTCCCAGCTACTCACTTGGGATGCTGAAGCAGAAGGATTGCCTGAGCGCAGGAGGTCAAGGCTACTGTAAGCTGGTGATTCCACCACTGCACTCCAGTCTAGGCAACAGAGTGAGATCTTGCCAAGAAAGAAAGAGAGAAAGAAAGAGAGAAAGAGAGGGAGAGGTTATAGAGATGGAGATGGAGTTGGAGAAGTTTCCTAGTTAAAGAGCATAACACAGAAAGAACTGTCATTGCTGGGAGAGCTCACATTAGAAAGATTTACTTTGTAGTATTTTAGGTTAACAACACCAACATAACCCAATAGAGGGCCCCTGAATTGAAAACTAACAACTGGCTTTGGCTATTTCAGTACATTCATTACCTTTTACAGTTTATTTATCTCTTTGTTCTTTAATTTTCCTATCTATAAAGTATGAGTAATATCTACCCTTATGCTAGAATACTGTTAAAATCATTTAAGGAAGCCAGGCTCAGTGGCTCAGCCTGTAATCCTGCGCTTTGGGAGGCTGAGGTGAGTGGATTGCCTGAGCCTGTGGGTTCAAGACCCTCCTGGGCAACTTGGCGAGACCTCATCTCTACAATAAATCAAAAAAACTAGCCGGGTGTGGTAGCACACGCCTGTAGTTCCAGCTACTTGGAAGGCTGAGGCGGAAGGATTGCTGGAGCCCAGCAGGTCGAGGCTGCAGTGACCGGGAGCAGTCACTGCTCTCCAGTCTGGGTGACAGAGTAAGACTCCAACTCAAAAAAATAACATAAAATAAAATAAAATAAAATCATTTAAGGAAAAATATATAAATGTGTTTAGGAAAGAATTTTAAAATGAACTTATTATTTAATATAGACAGATCCTATACTGTTTAACTTACTGCCTGTATTTACTGTTGAAATTCTCTTAAGTATTTATTAAGTGCCTAAGCTACTTTAGATACAATAGACGTTAAACCACAAAGCAAGTACCCATATAAGCTAGAGCTTATATTTTTCTAGTGTATATATATATATATATATATATTTGAAGACATATATATGTATGTATATATACACATATATGTATCACTTTATATATACATATATAGTCTATTCTTCTTTTTGAAGGTAGATTATTTACATTGAGATGTGCTCTTCATTGTAACATTAGTTTTTCTGTTGTCATTACTGCCAAAGATTTGAGGTATTTTCCTATCCTACTTCTCATTTCATATCTCTCAAAATAATGGGTTCTGATAGGTTGTTAATTTCTAGAACCAATACATTATAGTTAGGTACATGACAAAACACTTTCAAGCTCATTAATTTTCAAATTATAAACTGTTATATATTATTTTATACTACCTCTTGTGAAAACTGAATGAACTGCATACACACACACACGTATGTGTTGACTTAATCTCCAGAATATGTCCTATCAGTACAGAATTGGTTAGACTGGTACTTTTTGAGTTGTCATTCTAATAACTTTCATGTTGGTTTTTATACTGATTTTTTGCATATTCTCTTGCTTAGTAACTCTGATGACCAGTTGTAACATGGCTAAGTAGGTTTAAGGGTGTAAACTGTGGCCATCAAACTAAGGAAATCTAAATGACCCAAATAGTAATCAAACCCCTATTAACACAATCACACATTAAAACTTTGACAGCTTCAATTTTATAGGGATACAGAAAACAGTGGGAGGCTGTGAAAATACATTAGCATTTAAAATACTCTTGTATTTTAGTTAAGATTTAGCTTTTTATTTCAATAAGTAGTAATTGTCCAAATATAGTTTTTCTTCAGCTCTTTTAGTAGAGCTAACAATTTTGTATATGACATATCAGACATAAATCTGTACTTGTTAATACACCTTGAGGAGTCATTGAGAATTCTCAATTAAAAATACAGCTACATGGCACCTACCAAAAAACAAAAAACTAAATCATGAAATATTTTGGGAAAGATAAGAAATGTTAATTTAAGAATAATAATTATTTGAATATAACAATAATAATTATTCTTTAAAAAACATTTCATAGGGCACCTCTCTTTTGGGTTCCCTCCCACTGCTGGGAGCTTTCCTATCTTCTAATAAATTCCTACTTACTAAAAAAAAAAAAAAAATACATTTCATAAAGCCCAAAAAAGTGTCAGAGTGGCTTTGTTTTTTTAATATGATTTGCCACGTGGAATCTAACAGCTTAAAGCCAGATAATGTACTACAATTTTTTTTTGTATTCTTATAGTGTGATGTGTGTGTGTGTGTGTGTGTGTGTGTGTGTGTGTGTGTGTGTCTGTGTTTCTCTCTCTTTCTTTGTCTTGGTGGAGATTAGAAGTGACATTTATTCAATATTCTTGATTAACAAAAACAAAAAAATAGGTTATCCTGCCTGACTGGTCCTGCTTTTTACATCCTCTCGTTCAGGTCCTAAGACCTCTAAATGAATGGAAGGGCAGTCCAGGAGTATCACCAGTGTTTATAATACTGGAGGCAGAAATCAACTCCCTCCCCATCTCCTGTCCCTCTCACATAAAATATTAGGAAGACCAAATGATCTCTTAGCAAATCTAGCACTAATCTCAACTCTGTTCCAGTGTAGTTATATTTATATTAGAAAATACAGAGAAACATAATTTCTAGAGCTTTCCTTTCAGTAAAAAATTTGGATTACACAGCATTTATTGCTCCAAATTACTGCAACTGGGAAATTGAATCTAGCACAGAACATTGCTTATTATACTCAGTAAGTATTCACTGAATTGAACTGAATTGAAATCACTTTTGGTGGAAAGTAATTATTAATGTTTGGGTGACGACAGTAGACTACTAACATAAAAATATTTTTCCAACTTTTCCTTCAACTTCTTCTAAATAACTTTGTGTCTCAATGTGTGTTATGTATGATTTGGCATCTGTTTCCATATAACAAATGACACTTTTACTTTTGCACAAAAATTCTCTTTTCTAAGCACCATTTTAAAGTTCTGTACTATTTCACAGAGCATGATATTCATGTGAAAGTAAATATTAGAACTGTTACATACTAAAATTCCCAAGGGGAAAATACCTTGAGTAACATAACATTTCACTGGAATCAGCGAATTAACACCATAGTTTTGCTTTATTGGTAAAACTCAGATGTGTTGAAGGGAGATAGGAGAGAGGAAAAATGACACTGAATGTGTGAATGACTTTCTTCTCATTAAAATACTAAAATAAATTGTTGCATCACTAGCAGTACCAATTTCAATCTTCTTTAAAAAATGCATAACCCTCCCATCTTTAACAGTTCTCCTTTTACTTTTGAATCATTCATTTTATTTTTATAAAAATATCATTTAAAAAATCATCTGGGATTCCCCCCTTTATTTGGTAACTAAAAAGTTGCTTGTATATTTTTATGAACCCACTAAACTTAAACAGATCTCTTTAGAAAAATAATGTGGATATATTTTACTTTCTACAGCCTGAAGAATGTTAAAATAGAAATGCTTTCTTGAATTCCCTCTTCTGGCTCAAGTTACTAGGTGGTCCCAAGTTACCAGAAGTAAAATTTATAAATCTAACCCCTAGTCTAGACATTTTCCAGCACTGACTGCAGTTCAAAAAATATTAATGTCTAGCCGGCAAAGTGAAATTCCCCCCAGTGATTTTGCAAATGACTAGAAAGTTAACCTTTTGCCAACTGCTCCTTCTGTGCACGGAGGTTATTAAAAAGAATCCAGGCATTTATAAGTATGGGCCTTTTAAGACTGAAACACCTTGGCTTGACCCTTTGTGTCTCTTTCTGTTTATTCAGGCTTGGCCTCTGTGGCTGGAATGTGTGAGCCTGAAAGGAGCTGCAGCATTAATGAAGACATTGGCCTGGGTTCAGCTTTTACCATTGCACATGAGATTGGTCACAAGTGAGTGAGTTTAAGAAAATCAAAATAAATTTTAGAACTCTACACTTGAGCAACTCGTAACTACTGTGTGGAAAGCCTGTGTTCAACCTTATTTTACTGCCTTTTTGTCTGATTTCAATAGAGGATGTTATTATTTGGGTTATTGGAATAAACCATCTTAAGAACTGGAGATTTGTTAAATAATCTTTGTGATCCAATGACCGGTGTCCTCAGTGGTATTTGCACCACACTTAAGTTTGTTATGTACATTTGAAAAGTTTGAGCTTTAGCTCTTTCTGCTCAATACCAAGTTCCTCATGAAGCCCGATTGTTTAAATGATCGTTCTGTTCCTCAAGTGACAATACACATACATTTTTAAATCATTGACACCACTACCATAAAATATGTACTTTTAGTTTTCACTCTTCATACAGCTGTGAACATATCTTTTCCAGGCATAAAGTTTGTACAGATATTGCTAAGTCACTTGTATTTTCAGGTGCATTTGTATGTCATTGAAAAAAAAAACCCGTTAACAAGTGTGAGATATCATCTCACTTTTTTTTTAGGAGGCTCTGAAGTTTTTAATATTTGTTTTTGATGAATCTGTGCCAATGGAAAAATTATCCTTCCCACCCCTCCCCACACTCCATGGCAATAAAAGCTTGTCTTTACTCAAACAACAGGCATTAGTAATGTAAAAGCCTATTCACATGGAGGGACAGAAGTTTGACAGTATTTTTTCTTATTTCAATCATTTGTGTTCTTAAGACTGAAAGATGACTTGTCCTTAATTAGTCGATCTGTAATCTGATTGTGTTGCTCTTATATAGGTGAACACTAAACAAAAGAGCTTCCAATTTACTAAAAGGTTCATTTTTAAGTAGGAAATCCCTTTTTTCTCTAAAATAGAGACTATTAATGTTTAGCAAATGACCAACTATATCTGCTAACAATAAAATAAGAGAATACTTCAAAAGGCTAGTCAAGCATTTTTAGCTTAACAAGCAGCTTATTTGCAAGAACTCTTGACATTTGTATGATTTAAGTTTTATGATTTGCTTTTTGATGACAAAATGGATGGGGGAAATGAACAAATAAAAATGAATGTTTATTATACATACACTTGCCTCAAAGGTAATTCCTGAGATAAATCCGTAGTTAGATTTTTTTAAAAGAGTAAAATTGGGTCAGTCTGTTACATTATTTTAAAATTGCAATCAAATTGCATCGTATTGGTATTGATTTAGGTGTAAATTCAAGTAATCAGCAAACTTCAACCCTAACTTGATTCAGACAAAGGAAAAGTCATCAGTATTATACTTTTAACGAAGTCTTAGATATATTGGTATTCTGGTTTCATTACAACAAACAGTACGTGGACAAAAAGAAAAAGCTCTCTTGGCCAGGCGTGGTGGCTGACACTTGTAATCCCAGCACTTTGGGAGACCAAGTCAGGAGAATTGCTTGAGTCCAGGAGTTCTAGACCAGTCGAGGTTACATAAGGAGACCTCGTCTCTAAAAAAATTAAAATAAAAAATTTAGCAGGGCGTGGTATCCCACGCCTGTAGTCCCAGCTAATTGGGAAACTGAGGTGGAAGGATCACCTGAGTCCAGAGGTCGAGGCTATAGTCAGCCATGATTGTGCCACTGCACTCCAGCCTAGGTGATACAATGAGACCCTGACTCAAAAAAAGGAAACAGAAGAACTTCTCTTAACCAGGCAGTTTATCTATAGTTCACTAAAAAACGTTGCTCATTAATGACAGTCATAATTGTATGCAACCAGATAGAATTTAAATGGGTTCTGTTAGATTCAATTACATTGAAAGGTTAGGACAAGTAACATACAGTGGGTAGATGTGTGTATGAAAGCACTATTATCTCATGTAGTCACAAGTTAGTCAGTGTCAACACAGCATTTCAAATCCCATTCTTTTTTTTTTTTTCAAATCTCATTCTTGTATTCTTTAGTAGCTGAGTTGAGGGTTTCTCTCTCTTTATATCTTTTATAAAGATTCTAACTGTAGCCAGCATGATGGCTCACACCTGTAATTCCAGCACTTTGGGAGGTGAGGCGAGAGGATTGCCCCTGAACCCAGGGGTTCAAGACCAGCCTGGGCAACTTGATGAGATATCATTTCCATAATGAATCAAAAAATTTGCCAGATATGGTGGTGCATGCCTTGTCTCAACTACTTGGAAGGCTGAAGTGGAAGGATTGCCTGAGCCCAGCAGATGAAGGCTGCAGTCGTAGCCATGAGCATGCCACTGCACTCCAACCTGGGTGACAGAATGAGACTCTGACTCAAAAAAAAAAAAAAAAAATTCTAACTGTTCTACTTCCTAGGCTTTCTAGATTTTTTTGGTTGGCCTTGTGGGTGAATCCTTTCAATTCTTCTTACAATGACTGGCTTATATCTTATGTAGAAGAATCGTGAAAGAATAGAATATACCTCTCAAGTTTTATATACTTTGGAGTAACTTTATTTCACAGTTAATTTATGCTTGAAAGTGTGAATGTTAAAAGTGAGGGAAAAACATTTCACAAAATTCTTAGATTGAGAGCCAGAACAATACTTTCATGTAAAAATGTTTGACAAGAAACAAAAAATTAGCTTTTTCCCCATATTCAGTTGATTACCATGTTGCTGTCACCCTTTCCTCAGACAGCTAGGCAGGATGTGTTTAGCCTACTTTTTCAGTATGTAAAATTATTATTTGGTCAGTTATGAAAAATCCATTTCATAGGCAAAGATCCCTTTACTTGCTTTTAAAGTCTTAGGGTTTAGCTTTTCTGGAACTTAGCAGATCAACTTTGGCATGAATCATGTCATTCTTAAAATATAGTGATCTCTGTTTTTCCTGAACCAAAGCAGTAGCCATAGTAAATATATCGAATATATTTTTTAGACCAAGTATACTGAAATGAAATTTTTGTAACTTTTATAATTTAGTAGAATGGATGTTAAGTGATGTGATAATATCTGTAGATTAATTACAGTGAAGAGTACCTGACCATAAAATACTAAGAAGAGCCCCTACTGAGTCACTACTAGACTATGTGAATATTTTCTGTCTTTCTTTAAGTTGTGTAGAATGTGGTTTTGTACCCAGTGTATACTTGTGTAGGAATATAATATTCTTTTTAAATAGCTGTGGAATAATGTTTTCTTTGGCTAGGCCTTAGTGACCACTTTTATTTCTCTTCATCCTTTTGTGAAAACAAGAAATTAGTTCCCTTGTCAAATGAAAAATTGAGGTTTATATCATATTTAAATGACATGTCTAGGTTTAATGTAGGCTATAAGCCAAAGGCACTCAATGAAACCTTATAGGAAAGAATGTTCTTTGAAAGATTTTAAAAATTAATTATATAGTTCCCATGGGTTTCAGAATTTGAAAAGACTGTGATGGCAAGAATTCAACCAGATATCTAGTATATTGTGACAGCTATCTCATGTATCTGAACTGTACAAAAACCAGTAATCTTGAAAAGAGGTCTTAAATATATATATCTATATATATATATATATATATATATATTTTTTTTTTTTTTTTTTTTTTTTTTAAGGAATGTTTATTGAAATATGCGGGACTAAAGTGACAGGATGTCTAGCATTTACTTTAAAGGAATGGGGAAAAGAAAGAAAACAAGAGCAGCAACATTTTGAATTTTATCATCTTGATGATGTGTTTATGACAGTTCACTATGCCACTCTATTATGTATCTGATATTTTTTATAACATGAAATAGGTTCTAAGATAATACATTTATTAATTAACATTGATTAAGTCAACTTTAATATTGAGACTGTTTAAAAATCTTTGTAAAAAGTCATATTGAGAACTGTAGGGGTATATTGGTTTTACTTTAGGAAATAGATCTCAGTATTTTATCTTAACAATAGGAATACTTTCTATAGAAGACTGGTTAGGACATGAGTTTTAATGTTGGTTTTACAAAATGAATTAGGATATATTTTATTTTCTGGAATAGTTTTCTTTCCCATGAGTAAATTTTAAAACATTATTTAGGTTTAATTTACATTCAGTAAAAATGCACCTATTTTGTGTATGGTTCGATGATTTATGACAATTGTGTGTAACCATGTAACCACCACCACAATCAAGATACCAAGATTTTCATTACCTGAAAAAGTCTCCCCTCTCCCTTTACAGTTAATATCTACCCTCCTTCCCCCTCCTCTATCCCCAGACAATCATGGATCTACTTTCTATTACTATAAATTAAACTTGTCTTTTCTCTAGCTTCATTTAAGTGGACTTATATAGTGGATACTCTTTTGTGTCTAGATTCTTTCAATCAGCATAATCTTTTTGGGATTCATCCATGTTGTGCATATCAGTACAGTATTCTATACTGCATTTTGAGTTTTTTCTAGTTTTGGGCTATTATGCTATGAATATCTGTGCATGAGTGTTTGTATGGTTGTATGCTTTCATCTCTCTTGGGTGATACTTTTGGTAGTATGTTATTTTAATGACAGTGGTGATGAACATCTTTTCATGTGCTTATTTGTCATTTGTATATCTTTGAAGTATGTGTTTAAATCCTTTTCTTATTTTACAAAATTGAGTTTTTTCCTAATTAAAATGTATTCTGAGTCAAAGGCTTTATTATGTATATATAGAACACACACGTGCATATATATATGAATATTTTCTCCTCATCTGTTGCTTGCTATTCATTTTTAAAATGGCATCTTGTGAAAAGTAGAATTTTAAAATTTTGATGCAGTCTAATTTAAAATTTTTCTTTTTGTGCTTTATGTGTCCATCTAAGAAATCTTTGTGTACTTCAAGATTATGAAGATATTCTTTTATATTTTCCTCTGAAAATTTTATACTTTGAGCTTTTATATTTAGATCTGTGATTCATTTGGGTTAATTTTTATGTATGGTATGAAGTCTAAGTTAAGGTTCATCTTTTTCCAAATGAATATTCAGTTATTTCAGCACAATTTGTTTTTAAAAGATGTTGGTTGGTTTGTAGTTT